CCATCACCACCACCACCACCACCACCACCACCACCACCACCAGAATTCTTTTTTGGAACTAACTGAAAAATTGAGGGTTTTGAAAAATATTTTAAGCAGCACCATGGACTATTTTCATATGACTTTTTTAATCAGCACCATGGACTATTTTCAAACTCTCTTGAGTTTGACAAAAGCCTGAACAACGTATCTGGACCCTGTCTCAAAGAAGAGAAAGAGGCATTTTGGGACCTTTGGTTTTTGGTTTTTTGTTTTGTTTTGGGGGGATTGGGTTTTTTGTTTGTGTTTGGTTTAGTTTTGTTGAGACAGGGTCTCACTTTGTAGTTCAAGCTGGCCTTGAACTCACTATGTAGCGTAGGGTGGCCTCAAACTCACAACCACCCTTCTGCCTCAGCCTAATGTGTTACAGGCTTGAGCCATCAAGCCTGGTGCAAAGGGCATTTTGTAGGAGGTAGGAAACTGGGCTAAGATGTGATTGGTAAGAGCAGTGGCCACTGAGGAGAATCTGACAACCCTTTTCCACTGCGGCCCCCAGAGGGCCAGGGAGGGCCACACCCCTGCTCAGATCAGAGCCCGTGCACTCATGGAGAGGCAGGCTCTCTGTCTGACCTGGGCTCTGCGGGGTTTCACTGGAAGCTCGGGCACTGAAGACTTCCCACCTTCTCCTTACAGAAATACTGCTGACCCTGCAGGGAGCTGGCCGCTGCTTCCCTCAGCTGACCAGGCGTACTTGGTCACAACACCTCCCGGTCTGGAGAGCTGCGTCTCTGTGGACCCTGATCTGCCTGCAGCTCTCCCAGAGCCTCCGAGCAGATGGGCTGGGCCCTGCTCCCGGGGGGCCGCCACAGAAGCCACCTCTTCTCTTGCTGGTCTGAAGCTCGCTCCAGACAGTTGCTCAGTCTGTTCACTGCATTCACCTTAGTGCAATTTAGATCTCTCCTGCAAAGTAAATGTTGACAGGCAAATTTCATACCCATGTCAGATTGAATGTATTTAAATGTATGTATTTAAGGAGAACCGTGCTCTTGTTCTGTTCCTGTTTGGTTCCAGACACTGGTTTCTTGCTTTGTTCCTTGGCTAATCAGTCAAATGCAGAAGATTAGGATTTCATCTAGGGGCAAGCAAATAATGTTTTAAAAATCAAACTAAAGGTGTTTTAAGCTAAAACCTCCATTTGGGATGGAAGCAGGGCAGACACCGCAGACAGCGCTGTATACAGACACACCCGTAAGTGAAGACTGAAGTCACAGTTGTATCTTTGCAGAAAGCTCTTTAGACCTTGTTGGAAAGAGTTTCTGGTTCCTGAACAGGCAAAAAGGAGCCTGTGAGAGGGCTGTTGATATTCTCGTTTTGTTTCAACTTTTTCTGTTAAAATTAAATTAATTCACCTAAATTGTGAATCAATAAGTATTTTTCATTTCTAAATTAAGTTCCCTCTAGGTTGGTCACACAGCTTGAATTAGCCTCTCTCCTTCCTCTGACCCTGACTCTTCTTTCCCTCTTTGCTTTGCCCTGTTCCCTCTAATTTCCTGAAATGTTTTGCCAGCCACTTACCAATTGCTAAATATTGGATTTCAGAAAAATACATTTACTGGCAAGGAGAGGAGCAAAGTTAAGACTTGATACCAGTCAAGCTACGGCTACTGCTTTGGAAGCATGTTTATTCTGTTCCCCCAGCAACTCGGGCCTCCAAAATGGGAGAAAAATCCATATATTGAAATTGACCGCAGATATCACGACAGATTTAACCTCTGCCATGTGTTTTTTATTTTGTTTTTTAGCAATGCTAAGCCGAAGTTTTATAAGGTACATAAAAATCCAATTTATATGTAAACAAGCAATAATTTAAGTTGAGAACTTAAGTGTTTTAATTGTATAATTTTTGTGAGGTATACATATTGTGGAATTGACTCAAAAATGAGGTACTTCAGTATTAAATTAGATTATCTTCATAGCAATGTCTCCTAAAGGTGTTTTGTAAAGGATATCAATGCCTTGATTAGACCTAATTTGTAGACTTAAGACTTTATTTTCTAAACCTCGTGATTCTGCTCATCAATCATGTATCTAATCTATATGATATGCAGCCGCTGTAGGAACCAATTCTTGATTTTTATATGTTTATATTCTTTCTTAATGAACCTTAGAAAGACTACATGATACTAAGTAGGCCACTTTTAGGGTTGTTTTTCTTGCCCACTCTGGTAGGGAAATAATCTTTTATTAATTGGTATCAGTTTCCAACAACTGCAAATACCAAGGAACTGATTACCTTTTTTGAGCTAATTCTCTCCATCCCCAATACACATACTTTCTTACCTAAATTTAAGAATGGTATCTTTTTGATGTCTAAAAAGCAAAGTATTTTATAATATCTCATTAGCCAGGCTTTTTAGGAACAGAAGTTTTTCCTTGAAATTTGATTGCTTATATGTGGCAGGGTGAAAAATGTACAAACTACCCCTATTTATATTTATATATCTCTATATGTACCAAGTATGGAAATATAGGAAGAGATATAGCCCAATGATAAATGGTAAGTAGAGGTCTGAAAGTGTTGCTCCATAGTAAACTTTCTGGAAATTGGCATTTCAATACTGTTTTCCACTTTGAGAGGGATCTCAGTCCAGGGAGCTGGCCAAGAAACAGCACTTCTCGGCGGCCACCAGTCAATACATCCCTTCAAGAGGCTCTGCTGTTCCCCACCAAACCAGTAGGTGGCCCAGGCTGACGACAAACGTGAAAGAGGTGGGCCCGGAACTCCATGGTTTTATCCCAGCGATGAGGTTCATGCGCTGCATAGTTCAGCGTGACCCCTTGTGAGTTCATTTTTAGAAATGCATGAGTTGGAGTGACTCTTAACTTCACACAGGACAAAAGAGAAAATGGTGTTTTAACCGGATTTAAGTCTTTTTTCACTAACACCATCCAAAAGAAGCCTGTGTTCTTTCATTGTTACCCATCTGCCCACTGTGTTTTAACATCAGTCCCAACTCAGACAAATCTGCAGAGCTGTGAGACTGGCAGTTTAGAATAATTCATGATCATTACTGTCTTGAAGGAAAGAGATTATAAATTAAATTCTCTTAGGGTTCAGATCAGGTAGTGGATTTTGTTTTACATCTAATTAGGAGAAGAAAATAAGTGAAGGTCCTCTGATCATATTGATCACTATCGAAGCAAAAGCCAAATCAACTCCCTTCATTATCAGTATTTCTCATGCTGTACACAATAAATTTGTTAGACTGAGTACTTGGTTTTTGTTGATAGAACAAATAATCAGTGTTTTACTTATATTACTAAATGTGAAAAACATAATGTGAAAAGTATACATACATTAACTTGGTTGTAAAACCCATTAAGTGTTCATGTAACGTGGTAAGTTTAAAAGTGAAGTGAGCTGTTTTACTACAATGAATTCGTTTGACTCAAAGATTAAAAAGCCCCTCTCCCGATGTGTATCTCTTATGGCCTGTAATAATTGAAAGCAATGTTTTTGCAATTTATATAATGCAGTTTTTAATCTGTGTTTAAAAATGGAGTTCATATGGGCTTAACACATGAACTGGGTGGCACAGATCCACTTGCAGAACCCAAAAAAAAAAAACAAATTTGAAAAGCAAACTAAACCAATAAATGGTGGGGGGAAATTAAAAATTTCCAAGTGTTGGAAGGGAAGAAGCTGCCCAAAAACAAAACAATCCCCGCAAAAAAAAAAAATAACGGAAGAGCCTCCAATTTAAATAAAAATTTCCCCCCGGGGGTTCCTTAAAAAACAAAAAAAAAGCCTTTAAAGTTCCTAACAAAAGGAAAAACCAAGCGCAAAAAACCCAAAAAGCCAAAAACCAACAAAAAGCCCTAAAACCGGTTTTAAAGCCTGGAAAATCCCAAAAAACCGGCCCAAGGAATAAAATTGGAAAAGGAAATGGGGAAAAATTTTGAAAAAAGGCAACAACAACCAAACCTTAAAGTAATGAAAAAGGAAGAAGAAAAAATTCCTCAAAAAATTAAACGGCAAATTTTTCCTTTGTCATTTGTGGGTTTTATTTGTACAGTTACTCATAAAGTTGCATCTGAGATGTGTGTATATGAAAAGATTATACAAGGGTAAAATTAAGCAATATATAAACTATGGTTCTTCAGGAGAAAGCTTACAGTGTTTCAGGTTGTGATTTATTTTCAAAACAGAGTTGACTCAACATCACTTTGTTCACCTGCATTGATGTTTGTATTTCTAGTGTGAGCAGTTTATGCAAAGTTAGATATATTCAGAGAAATTTTAAATACATTTATGCAAGTTAATATTGCTTTGCTGATGCTATTTGCTTATTTGATGTTAAATAATGCTATTGTAAATAAAGAATTCTGTTGTTATTGCATCATTTAATAAATTTTAATGCCTTCGGGTTTTACATGGCTTTAGATTTTAATGTGTTCACATTGTATTTTCTTTCATAATTACATTTAAATTAAAAATACCTTATTTAATATTTTTATACAGTCTCCCTATATAGTTAAGGCTGGCCTTGAACTCACTGTGCAGCCCATACAGGCCTCAAACTCATGGAGATCCTCCTGCTTTAGCCTCCCAAGCGCTGGGATGACAGTAATAATTTATTTTGATGGTAGTCAGCACTGTTCATAGCACTTTCAATATTTCATTCTTCAAAAAATAAAAATTTTGGGCCAGGGATTTAGCTCAGTGGTTTCACCAACTGCCGCACAAGTGCAAGGATGTGAGTTCGATCCCCAGTACCAAAATAAATAAATAATTTTTAAAAATTTTGTGAGGTGGGATTGAATCCAGGGTCTTGTACATACTAGGTGAGCCCTCTGCCACCAAGCTGACCTCCAGCTAGCCCCAGTAAACCACTTTAGTAAACCACTTTATAGATTTTCAGTTTGAAGCCAAGAAAAAAAGTGTATTTAAGATTATGTAACAACTGGGCTGGTGATTTAGCTCAGTGGCACCGCACCTGCCCTGCCTGGCAAGCACAAGGTCCTGAATTGGATCCCTGGTACCAAAAAAAAATTATGTAACAGCTTAATGGTACATGTAGGTCAAATCTGTTCCACTGTCTCCTAAATGATAATGACTCTTTGTGGCATTGTTTCACCTTCCATTCCCAAATCTCCAAAACATTTATTAGAATAATGTGAACTTTTGACTAGTTACAAAGATTGTATATCACACATCTTAGTTACTTTTGGGGGGTTATTTTTGGAGGGGTACCAGGGATCAAACTTAGGTCCTTGTTCTTGCAGGGCAGGGGCCGGAACCACTGAGCTAAATCCCCAGCCCTTTAGTTACTTTTCTTATTGCTGAGACAAAATGCCTGACACCCCCAAGTTAAGGAAAGGTTTATTTTAGATCACAGTTTTTAGAGGTTTCAGTACATACAATCAGCTGGTTCTGAGGCAGAGCAGCATGGCAGAAGGGGATAACAAAGGAGAAACAGTCCATGACAGAGCAGGCAGAAGGCCCCAAGCAGCAGCATCAAGCCTTCCTTTCTCTTTATCTCATCCAGGTTACAAGCCCCAGGGTGGGCCTTCCCATTATCCACACCCAGAACTATGGTGAAGCAATCAGTGGGCTAATTGACTTATCACACACCTTGAATCCATATTCACAGACCCTAGATTCAGCCACCTGCAAAAATCTGCACATGGCTGGGCATGGTGGGTCATGCCTTTAATACCAGCACTTGGGAGGCTGAGGCAGGAGGACTGTCACGAGTTCATGGCCAGCCTGAACTACATAGACCCTTCGGGGCGGGGGGTTGGGGGGGGGATATATATATATGCAAGCACATAAGGCTTTCAGGGTACACCTAGATACAAGCCATAACAGCACAAGATTATTGATACTGGTTTAGTGGATTGATTTGGTAGTAATTGATGAGTATAAGTACAGTACCTAAAACCAGGGTTATAAACTAAATGAAATACCAGTAAATACAATCTGAGTTTTTTCTCTCTGAGCTGCTACAGATGTCAGCCTTGAAAGGACCAGGTCCTGGGACATGTTCCACAACTACCAGGTCCAAGGCTTGATACTAGATGGAAATGTATCCTGAAATTGTATTTGTAAAAGATATAAAAACAAGAGATGAGAAAAATCTTCCTATGCTAATAGCTACATTAACAGATTAAAGGAAGAGGAAAAAAACACGACTAACTTATGCTATTTGATAAATATCTGTAAGAAAAATTTCAGCCCTTTAATCAAAGTCAACAAAGAGCCCACAGTGTTAAGAAAGGGCCAGGGATTTAGCTCAGTAGTGCCGATGGCCACCTCATAAGCACAAGGTCCTGAGTTTGATCTCCAGTACCAAAAAAAGAGGAAAGAATCAGTATACTAGAAATAGAAAACATTTTCAGCCAACTTGACCATCTACAGGGCAAAAAGTGAATCAGTTGTCCAGCTCTTTCTTGGAATGAATGAATAAGCTTTGTAAGGTAGGTAAAGCATAAAAAGAAACATTACCTATCCACACTAACCAGTTTTTAAACTTTTTAACTGATAACAAAAAGTATAAAAATTGTACATATTTATGGGTATCATGTATTTCAATACCTTACATTGTATAACGTTTAAATCAGGGACAACACAAACATCTGTCATTTCTACGTGGTGAACCAGTCCAAACCCTTCCCTGGCTCCTGGAATACACAGCCCATTCTCTGTCTGCACTGTGCAGCTCACTGAAATGCAGACAGCTACCTGTCAACCGTTCGTTTCGGTCAGTTTTTCCCTGTCTCTCCCCTAGTAACTGCTTTACAAGCATATTTCAAATTTCGATCTGAAGAGGTCAAATTTCCCCTTCGCTATAGCAAAATAATACCATCCTTATCAAACAGAATCACACCTAGCATGAAGTGTAAAAGACCCAAGCCAACTAATGTTTTACTAAGAAAATGAAAGATGGGCCGGGATTCAGCTCAGTGGCTCCGCCACCTGCCTGGAAAGCCCAAGAGGCTGAGGATGTAGCTCAGTGGTGCTACACCTTTCTCACAAGCACAAGGTCCTGAATTCGATTCCCCAGTACCAGGAAAAAAAAGAAAATGACCTGAAAAACTAGAGACATCCACGAGCCCAGACCCAGGATTGTAAAACCACCACTGCTCCCTCCATTTCGTTAAAATCTCAGTCATCTGAAAAGTTCCTGAGAAATGCAATGTACAATAATAGATGAAAAGTCTTAGAGAAGAAAAAATGGGGAACGTCAAAACATTTATAATCCATCAATTAGTCATGTAACATACTTACCCAGATGTATCAAGGATCCAGAGGCATGTTGCTCTATAAATGTAAGCATGTATGATGGCGCTTCCAGACCCACCACCACCACCAGGGATTGAACTCAGGACCTTGCCCTTGCAAGACAGGCACGGTATCACTGAGCTACGTACGTCCCCGGCCCTTCATTTCTAAACTGTAGTAATCACTGTTCTAAAAAACAACATGAGGGGCCGGGGTTGTGTATCAGTGGCACTCCCCCTGCCTTGTAATTGCAAGGTCCTGAGTTCGATCTCTGGTACTGCAAAAAAAAAATAATAATAATTTGGTCACATTGGGGGGAAAACACCAAGTTAGCTCCCTATTCCTGCCAAGTTAGCAAATCCCAAATGGATCGGAAGCCTAAACATACTAAAGTGTAAGATTACTAGAATACGTTTATGTTGTTAGAAAAATAAAGGAATTCTTTAAGGAGCAAAGCACAAAAATTAGTAAAATATATGAAAACAGTATTCTATAATAGAAGTTAGAAAGTAAAGACTGCAGCAGGGTGTGGTGGTGCATACCTGTAATCCCAGCACTTGGGGAGGCTGAGGCAGGAGGATTTCACAAGTTCAAGACCACCCTGGGACCACCCTGTCTCAAAAAAAAAGTTTATAAAACTAAGGGAAATCAGCATGTAAGCTTTTCATCACTGCAATACAACACTTAAGAAAGTCGGGAGGGGCCGGGGATTTAGCTCAGTGGTTCTGGTGCCTGCCTTGAAAGCACAAGGACCTGAGTTCAATCCCCAGTACCGAAAAAAAAAAAAAGAAAGTCAGAGGAAATGTTGATTTCAGAGGGGTTTGGGGGGTTTTGTTTGTTTGTTTGTTTGTGGTACAGGGGATTGAATTTAAGACCTTGCACTTGCCAGGCATGCACAGTGCCACTGAGCTACACTGGTTTCATTGCTGGAGGCCTGTTCTGCAAGACAGAACAGCGTGGCAGAGGGAGGCTCCTCAGCCAGGAAACTGGAGGAGAGCAGGAGAGGACAGGGCAGGAAGAAAGCGCCCTGGGTCACACACCCTGGAACCAACAGAGTAACTCACTGGTAATGTCAGAGACTTCGTGACCAAAAAGCCCTACTTCTGAACACAGGAGACTGAGGGACAGTTTAGATCTAGACCATAACGATGGATGAAAAGATGAAAAATGACTAATGGGTATTAAAAAGATGTTTCACGGCCGGGGATTTAGCTGAGTGGTTCTGCCGCCAGTGCAAGTGCAAGGACCCAAGTTCGATCCCCGGTACCAAAAAAAAAAAATTGTTTCAACGTCATTAGTCATCAAGATGCAAACAGACAGGAGATGTCCTTCTCTACCCATCTG